TTCTATACTTTTCAGGAAATAGAAATCAAAGCCAATGTTTTAAAAGTTAGGATTAATTTAAAATTTATATTTTTTATGGATTAAAATTATAAATAACTCTTTAATAGTTTATTTTGTTTCTTTTTTATGTTAAATTTTAAATACACTTTAATTTTTTAAAATATATAAAAAATGTAAATAAAATAACCTGATCAAGTTTTTTTTCTTATATTAATACTTTTTTAAATAAACTTTTTTTAATAATAAAATAAAAATTTAAGTGTTTTAAAATAATTTTGTTTATTATATATATATATATATATATATATATAATATTAAATAAGGAGATAAGATAAAAAACGCTATATTTTCATAAAGAAAAATACAACGTGGGGTGGGGGAAACAATACAAAGATGTCATGTATTGAATCATTTACGGAAATATTTTTTTAATGTTTTAAAAATATATTAACTTTTATTTCGATTTTATTAATTTTATTCTTTATTGTGGTCTTGCAATGTTAAAAATAGTTTAATTTTGTCTTTGTAATACTTTATTTACGACGAGTGATTTCGGATAGAATGTCCATGTCATTGACTTATCATAATTGTCACCTTCTATGTCTAAGGATCCTACCTAAAATGTAAATAAATGAATGATCAAAGTAGAAAATGGTTATATCTATGGAACCAAAAAATAATTAGAGTCAATTGGTTTGATCAAGAGTCATGCATGCATCTGAGTAAGGTCTAATGAAACTATAATAGCCTCGTAGAGGGGGTTACGGTGAGAGATTAAAGTCAAAAGCTTTGAGGTTTTTGTTCCACAAAGGGGTCAAAGTTATAATTTTAAGGTAACCAACCTAGAATATTATTTGAAAAATGTTTGATTGAGACACATTCATACGGATGCTAGAGATGAATGATGATGTAGGATTAAGAGTGAAACCTAAAAACTATAAAACTCAACAATTAGCTCCTAATTTTCATTAACTTAAAGTTTAGAAGCAAACAAATTTATTATATTAAGAAGATACAAATATATATTTGTATCTTGGTTATAATTTCTTTATATGATATGTAATAACCATATTGTGATATTATTTACCACCTTATCACTTAACAAAAGTAAGATCATGCATGATTGATATTGAAAATAGTCATTTCTGTTTTTGCTGATTAAAACAAAAATCATTTAAAAAAAGAAATATATATATATATATATATATATATATATATATATATATATATATATATATTATATTCTACAAAAAGCAAATAGAGGGTTCATTATGAGTTTAACCCGCAAGCTAACTTGATTTACATGGCTTCTAATTAAGTTGAATTGAAATTTTTTTAAAGTTTTTAATATTAAATAAAAAAAGTCCGACTGATTTAACTCTTTTGATTAAACAAATTCGAATTAAATTAATAATGGATTGATATTTTTTTTAATCTTTAATTTTTTTTATTGATATGTTAACGACTCAACGCTTCTAATTTATTTAGTAAATTAATTCATCTAATTCACTTATTTTAATAATTTAAAAAAATATAAAATATATATTTGAATAGATCAATTTATTAATCCATAAAGATGGAATCGAATTATAAAACTTTTAACTAGAAAAAATAGTCAAGTTAAACTGATTAATTTAATTTTTATTTTAAAAATTATGAAAAATTTAATTATTTTAAATATTGTAACTATATTTTTAATATAAATTAGTCAGAAGATTTTAATTTTAATTAAAAATAGTATTGAAAAATTATTATTTTTTAGGAACAGTTTAAATTTTATAGGTAAATTAATTTCAACTTAATTGTAACTCTGGTCTCTAAATTTAATAAATTCTGAAATTTTAGTTCCTAAATTTTATTTCAGTAATTGCTTTAATTTGTAATTATATATAATTTTGGTTTCTGAAATATTTCTTGTATAATTTTAATGTCTTAATTTTGAATTATTCATAATTTTGTTTATTTTTAATTTAATTATCCATAACATGTAAATTGGGGATATGGTACGTATGATACTTACTTTTCTTTCTCCTTAGATCGACGACTGTAAAATTAGAAACGGTCTGAAAATTAAACAAAGTTATAGAAAATTAAAAAAAAATTAAGAGATTGAAATTACATAAAAGAATTCAGATATAAAATAAAGATGATTAAAATTTAAAATACTAAAATCAAGAAAAGAAAGTAAGAACTAAAATTACAAATTTTGTAAAACACAGGACCAAAATTAATATTACACCTTTATTGTTTTTAGAATATAACATAATTTAAGAGTATTAATAAGATAATTTTATTAAAGAATGTTGTTACCTACTCCAGTGATGTTAAATTGAAATATCTTAAATAAGAATTCAGCTGACTAGCACGTCAGCCCATCATAATATATGGCGGGATGGGTTGGTGTTTTTAGCTCACCAATCTGCTTTGGTCCGTCTCCGCTAAGCTCGCTAACCTGTCGGACCAACCAATGGGACGGAAAGGTCAACTGCTGACCGCCTAATTAATAAAAAATTAAATTTTTATTATAATAAAATTAATTATAAAGATAATATATAAAGTTAAAATTTTTAAAAAGAGAATTAAAAAAGTTTCATTCTCACGGAAAATATTTTCCTCCCTAAAACATAATCTTCTCTCCGTTTTCCTTGTTTATCCTAAACACTAATTATTTTTATCCTTATTACTTGAATTAAAGGTATAAGAATTACTCAACCAAAAATAATATGAAGTTTTATCAGATAAAAAAGATATAGATATTTGAATTTTTTAATATAAAAAATATAAATTTTATAAGTTTAACGTTATTTATATATATATATATATATTTGTTATTATTTATTATTATGTAAATTTTATTATTGTTCTAAATTATAATTTCTTAAAATAATGTATTGATTTATATTATTAAATTGAAATTATATATATATATATATAGAATTATTGACAAACAAATAATAATTTTATTATTAAATTTATTAAAAAAATTATTTTATTAAAAATTATGTTTTTAAATTATGGCACCGCTAACTCGCCTTTGGTAGGGCGGACCAAGATCTACAACCCGTCATGACTATATCGGATCAACCGCCCCCCTTTTAGCGGACCAAAGGCGGGATGAGCCAAAACGGGACGGATTGACCAGTTTTGCCATCCCTAAATTCAAGAGTTAAATGAAAAAAATCATTAAAAGATAAAAAACCAATTATTAAAAAAAGAAACATTTTATCCTAACACTATTAGGGTGGTCTTAAAAAGAAAATTCCATTAATATTAGATAACGTTATTATATTATAAACTCTATTAATTAAATAATAGGTTAGCGACAGGAGCTGTTTGGCTTTATCGCCGCTGTCTACTTTTATTTATTTATTTAATTTAAAATTACTTTTTATGATAAAAGAAGGCTTCATTTATTTTGTGTGTTTGTGTGCAGTATGCACACTCCCAAAGCTTTTGTTGCTTTGTGCTTAATGGAAGGCCCTTGAGCTTTTCTCTGTCCCTCTTTCTTTCTTCCTTTCTTTAGGTTTCACTCTCACACACTCTCCCTCTCCAACACTTCACTCTCCCAATCTCCATCCTCGCAGGTGCGTGCGACTGTCCCTCACTGCTTCATTATTCTTATTTATCTATTAATCTTTTCTCAGTTTTTTTCTATTTTCGTTTGTGCTGAATTTTTAGTGTCTTTGTTTCTTGTTTCAGATAGAATGTGTACCTTTTGGTGTTTTTGTTTATACATATTTATGTATATATATATATATATATATATTTTTTTTTTTTTTCAATTTCACAAATGTTAATACACAGCACTCATTTATTTCCTCTGGTTTTGATTATTTTATTTTTTCTGGTTAGGGGAAGTTGTTTTGGAATTTGGTGTGGCTGTGGATCTGATTTCAACAATACACTCTTTTGTGTTCGTTTTTCTTTTCTTTATATTTTTTATTTTAAATTTCTCTGCTATTCATTTTCCTCCCTCTTTTGTTTTTAACTTTGAGCGCTGCTGCATATAGTTTCAGCAAAAATAAAATAAAAAGGAGGAAAATGATTGGTTGACTACGGTCTTAGTCTATAATTTTAAACTTTTTTTTCGGTTTCACTTATTGAATAGTTCTTTGCTACTAAATGCTACTCAGATTATCAATATTCTTTGTTGGATTTTTCCCTGGGATTTAAAAAAAAAAATACAAATTTTATTGGCGTTTTCATTTTCCCTTGTGATGTTGTAATGGATGGGTTATGATGGAGGGAAAGGTTAGGCTTTTATTTTTTGGAGTGAGAGGGGGTGAAGATATTTCGTCAGTTGATTATGTTAGTTTATGTTACTACTGTTTTCCTTTGGTTACTGAAATAACTTTTTGAGTTTGTGTTTGATTTTCTGAATGCTCACTGGCAATAGAAAACTCACCTTTTTTTTTTTGCATTGTCCATAATTTTATTTTATCTTTGCAGCTGTTTCCTGTGATTCACAGCTATTTTAATTGCCTACTGTTGTAATTCTTACACAGTCAGATCAAACGATAGTAGGTGTGACCTTTTTTTTTTACTAGTTGTCAAACATAATTTTATATGATTTGATCAAACTTAAGAATAGGACACTTTCAATAACTTAATTTTATCGAATGTAATTTTTGTTAACGTTGGATTTAAAGTTCTCATAAATTAGATCAAATCTTCAAAATTATACATAAATTAAAAATTTAATGAATACTTAATCATTTCACTTTATTTTATTGTGTAATATGCTATTTAAAATATATGTAAAATAGTTGCTATTTGATTATGCATCTGGAAATGTGTATTCCATATTTTAACACCAGTGTATATATATATATATATATGTGTGTGTGTGTGTGTGAGATCTGTTTAAAGAAGGACACCTTCAATAACTTCTTGCGAAATTTACATCATACTCGTCTTGGGTTTAGGGTTTAGGGCAATACTTCAAGCAAATTGTGGTTTATAATGGTTTTGTGCAATACAGTTTGTAAATTTGGAGTCTGATGTCTCCGCCACTGCTGGTTACTGAAGATGAAGGGCAGAGCAATGCCTCAATGGTAGTTGCTGCATCTTCACCATCCTTGGAGTGTTTCCCTCCAAACGAGGCTAGATTGAAAGAACGCAATTACCTGAGATTGTCAGATTGCTCTTCGGTGGACAGTTCTACTGTCCCAAGCTTGTCTGGTGAGAAAAAGAACCTGATTTTGAAGGCTACCGAGTTGAGGCTGGGCCTTCCTGGATCCCAGTCACCTGAAAGGGATCAAGATCTTTTCCCATTGACCTCAACAAAACTTGACGAGAAACCACTGTTCCCTTTGCTTCCTACAAAGGATGGAATCTGCACTTTGTCTCAGAAAACTGTGGTCTCAGGCAACAAGAGAGGTTTTGCTGACACAATAGACACTGAGGTGAAAATTTTTCCTTTTAACAAGGTTAAATGAATGTTTCATACTACTTCCGAGTCTGATTCTTTCTAATCTGTGTTGTTTGGGGAAGTTTCCTGGCAATGCAGGAATAAACATGATGCTGTCACCTAAACCTTCTGGGACTCAGCCAACCACAGTGAAAGAAATACCAAACAAGGTGTTACAAGAGCGTCCTTCTGCAGCAAATGGAACTGGTCTTAATCATACAGGAGCTTCTATCAGTGGCAGTGGACCTGCTTCTAAGTAAGTGAAACTAGCTAGATCTATTTATAATCTTTGGGAGAATCTCGAAGTTGGACAAAAGATTTGAAAAGGGTTAATTCATACATTTCTAATTATGCTAATTAGTTCATATATGTGATAGGGCACAAGTTGTTGGTTGGCCTCCTATAAGATCATTTAGGAAAAACTCATTGGCCACCACTTCAAAGAACAATGATGAGGTAGATGGAAAACCAGGTCTAGCCGCACTCTTTGTGAAGGTCAGCATGGATGGTGCTCCCTATCTGAGGAAGGTAGATCTAAGAAATTATACAACGTACCAGGAACTGTCTTCTGCCCTTGAGAAGATGTTCAGCTGTTTCACTCTAGGTGATATGTTACAGAGTTTACAGCCTTGCTTTGTTTTAGCCAATTATTTACTGCTAATGATCCTTGTGACATTGTTTTGATTACTGTTTTTTTCCATTCTAAAATGTATGTTTTGAATGAATTCATTATTTATCACATGTGTATCATCCCAGGTCAATGTGGTGGTTCCCATGGAGTGTCAGGAAGAGAAATGTTGAGTGAGAGCAAGCTGAAGGACCTCCTGCATGGTTCGGAATACGTACTCACTTATGAAGATAAAGATGGTGACTGGATGCTTGTTGGAGATGTACCATGGGAGTAAGTTTCTGAACATTTTATGGGTCTAACAAGCTTTGCATTTTCAACTTCTCGTTGTATTTTTTTGATAATTATGGGAGATGAACCTTGGAGTAAGTTTCTGAACATTCTTTGAGCTCTAACAATTTCTGCCTTTTCAACTTCTCAATTTATTCTGTTGATAAAATTAATATTTGTTTCTATATAATTGGGCAAGGAACTTCGGAAAAATTACGAAGTGATTAATTATTCTTGAATCAGTGGCATGTGCAATATGTTGCCAACGATTCCAATTGTTAAAGATTTTTCCACCTGAAAAACTTGGTTTTATTGATTACTGCTTCCTAGTCATATGATACTGTAAAACATCTTAGATCTTCATTTTTCTCATGTTTTTCTTTAATTGCAATTGTTGACTTTTGTGGTAGTTTCATCAAACGTAATATCTAGATTGATTTATAATTTATTGACACTAACAATGTAAAAATATATGTAACCTCTCCCAATAAGGTTGACCCCTTCCTAAAATAACTGTTTTCTTTGTATTAAGGGGACTTATCTGTTCCATTTTGTAATGTGCCTCAATTTGAAAAAAAAAAAAAATTGGGGGAAGGGTTATTTTATTTTTCAGGCTAGAACAAATAGCTGAAGTTTGATAGTTATACGTTTGTTTGATAGTTATTTTATTTTGTAAATGTTATACGTTTGTTTGATAGTTGCACACTTAAGAACTTGATCATCGTTAGATTTTCTTGTTGTATTGTAACTTGGTCATTCTTCCTATTGGAATGTGTTGATGTTTTCTTTGTACAGGTATCAAGTCTAGGAAAATTAGTACTATTTGTACCAAGAAATTGTCAACTGGACGAATCATGGAATAAAATCACTGACTTGTTCCATTTCACTCTGGCTTGCATCTTATGGTTGACTGCAATTTTTCTTTTTATTTGCAGTATGTTCATTGACACATGCAAAAGGCTTAAAATCATGAAGGGTTCTGATGCCATTGGCTTAGGTATGTATTCTGGGTGATAATTCGTTTTGAGGACTGGGAACTTCTTTTTTAAATCGAACAGTAGCGGTGCCCGGGTAATAGCTGGTAGTAGATTATTATCCTGATGCATTAAGTGAGGCTCTTGAATCTACAAGTTAATAGATTATGGTCATGGAGGGTTACTTTGTATACACATGGGGGAAAATATAAGGATTTCTTTTGTCTTGTTTGAAGGATACTATTGTTCGATTCATTATTATATTATTGTGTTGTGATTGATTTTCTGCAGATTAATCATGAAAGAAGTCTTTAAAAGCTAGAGATAATAATACATACTGAATTTTGTTATTTGCAAACATAGTGCCAATTCATATGCCCCCATCCACTAAATGAAAAAGGGTTGAATTCAAGGATGAGCTGGATTGAGTTTGCACGAAACCTGTCTAACATAACACAAGGAACCCATGATTGAAAGTATCATTAGTTTATATACGCAATTGACCACCATGGTTGCCTACAGCTTGTTTCTTTGTAAATTGTAACTCAAGGAAAACACCAATTTGCTTAAGTAGTTTTTCTATTATTCGCAGCTCCCAGGGCCATGGAAAAATCCAGGAGCAGGAGCTAGTTGGTATTGTTGACTGCGTTTTGTCTGCTATACTGAAGTTGCTGGATATGATAAAGGTGTGGAAAGAGAACTATGGTATAAATCTGAATGCCGGGTTTTGATATTTAACTACTATTAAAGAAGTTGTTTATGATTATAAGTCCCACGATAGTGTCTTGGTCTTTTGTTTGTGTTACATTTGTTTCCACTAAAATACCTGGTGAAGCTACGTTGAATATTAGTAATTGGGAAGTCTGTAATCTTCATAGGAACATGTTTGTTTGGATGAGCTGAATGTATGTTATAATCAATGTATTGTTCTCGATGATTTGCTATTCCTTAGTGTTTCTTTCTCTTCAAAGGCATATTTTCATTCCTATCTCATTAAATCAAATGATTCCTAAGGGTCCCCAGTTTCGCATCGGCCGGCTTAAGATAAATTATGGACTCATGAAAGTGAATGAATTTTATTGAGTTTTACTTATTGGTCTGTATTTTTTATCGAAATTCAGTGTCGATACAATAAGAGGAACACTTTACTACAGGTACCATGAATTAAACGGGTAGATTTAGTATTCTTTTGATTTCATCAATTTCTTCCATGTTTTCTATTTTCATAAAATTAAAAGTAAGTCTTTTTTTTATATAGAGTCATGAAGTGAAATTGATTTTAGGACAGAATATAATATTAGTTTAAAAAATAATAATTAGTAAAATAATTCAAAAGATAATAACGAATAAGTTACAAGATGGAGTAAGATAATGTGTAATAGGATAATTAAATAAATAAAATAATTTAAATAGATTTAGGTTGGATTATTTATAATATTATGTTTTTTTACATTTATTCTATGTTGTACGGGATAAAAAGGAGTTGATGTAGATGACTTACCTTTAGCAATATATTTTTCCAAGCTAACTCCAATAGACTTAAAAGGTTTAAGGAAAAACTAAGTATTCCTCCTTGCTCTGTTCAACGGAGGGTAAGCACACATTTTATGCATGAAGCAGATTTCGTCGATGGGAGTTGATAACCTATTTCATACTCCTCCTCTTCACTTGAATTTGAGGAGCGGGGAGGCTGTGATTGATTATGAGATTCATGATTTCTTACATATTTTGAGTTTCCTTACCCTAATGCAAAAGCTAGAATAGAAAAAGACTTGTTGAGTTGCTAATGTTTTTTTTTTCTCTTTGATGAGATGATAAAGAAGTTGTGAGGACTAAGCAACAAATAGTATGTTAAACGCAACCTATAATTGAAGTTCAAATTAGAAAAGAAAAATCACTTTTAGTTATGAATTTGAATGTTGAAAAGTGAAGAAAAACAACAAAGAAAAATAGTTGACAACTGACTGTTTTACGATAAATCAACGTATCCTTATCTCAAGGTGAAATTCAGTGTTTTAAATAGAACTAACATCCGAGGCTTAACCTACTTTAAAAACCTCTGAATTCAAAAGTCACTGGAATTATGCTCACCCTAAGAAAGTTAAGAATTGTGTTTGACGAGCCCTTGAACTCTTCAGTACAAGTAACTGGGGCGGTCAAACCTTTATAAGTTATAAAAACTCTATAAAGAACTAAAGAGAAAATTCCCAATATTTTAATGAATTTATATATATAAAAAAACTTATATTCTAGTATTGGAATTAGCTCTTACTTCACTAATGGTTGTTTAAATTGAATTATTTCGGTGTCTTATTATTCTTCTCTTGATTATTTTTTATTAATCTTATCTATATATATTTAAATGCCATTTTACAAAAATATACTATAAAGAAAACATTCTATACTTACCTTAATTGTCATATTTAACATGAAAAAATAATCTTAAAGTAGTGTGAATTCTAAAGAGAGATTTTAAGAATAAAAATGAGATTAACTCTTTATTTTATTATTTATTTTTTAATAATCTAATAATTAAGAAAAATTATGATTTTAAGCTATTAAATTAAAAAAAAATGAATTAAAATCCTTTTATTATATACAAGTATAAATTTTACCATTCATTTATTTAATATAATGAATTAACAGGTTAACTCATCTTAATTATTAAATTTAAGTATATCATTCTCTAATATAATATAGCAGAATTAATGGTATTAGTTATAAATTATAAACAGAATATGACATATTTGTACCGGAAAATTTGAATATCACCCATGTACTGGTGTTTGTTTACCTGCTGTTATAATATGCTTCTAGTACAAAACAATTTTGAACCACCGGTGATTTTATGCACTGCTACCTCATCGTATTAGAATTTCCTCGAGCAGATTTTGATGCACAGTATTCTATTTATCATAATTAACTCGGGCAAAATGAGCTACTTTAGATTTCTCATTATATAAGCATTGAACTTTATGGTTGGCAATGTGCTATATATCAGAACTTTCGATGATTATTATATGTTTAGCTTTGTTAGTGATGCACGGTGGATTCGTGCATTCGAATTATTCTTAGACTAGTGCAGGATTGATTGTTAACCAAAAGCATTGAATAATAATGATAAAGATACATTGATGGTGGTTTGCTGTTTCTTCTAGCTAGATTCAATAATGTTTTTTTTTTTTTTTTTTTTTTTAATTTTATTAAGCAGAGCTAAAGAAAAGAACATATGACGATGTTGCAGCTGGTGGAAACATAACCTTAACATAAACATAGCTTTTGATGCTAGTGCATGTATCTTTTAAAGATTAAAAAATAGAATCGCTAGCAAAATGGTGTTTATTATAGAGGAACAAGTTTGTGTTTTAATAGTGGTTGCAGAGAGTTTGATAAATGTAGCTAGGAGCAAAAGATTGAAAGATTTGGTATTTATGAATAAATGTATTAAAAAAATTGAACTGCTTCATCAAATTTATCAGTTTGTTCCTTCTCTTATAATTAAGTTGGCAGGTTTCAGGCATTGTATTCAGGTCCAGTTTTCCTGATATAGTTTTATGACATGCGCTAGATAACTTCTAGGTAAACTCCTTTTGATTTTTCCCATTACACACAAAAATGGCAATAGAATTTTCATGGTGCCTATGTGGGGAAAATAGCATCACATTTAGAAAATAAGCACATGAGAACCATAAAAGGTGGATGACTAAGTGGGAATCAATATTACCTTCTTTTAAAATAGTTAATAGGGTGGACTTACCAACAGAAGACTTGGTTGGTCCTTTCATTTATTCAAAAGCACCATGATTTAACCACAGTGATAGGAATTGACCTGTTTTTAACAACGAAATTCTCCATGGAAGTACATTATCATTAACTAACTCATTGCAAGTGTCACAGTGATGAAAACTGAAAATTGTAGGGTTTCAATGTGCAAACTTGAAAGTTGAAGCTTCCCCCTTTCCTCACAAACATCTCTTTCATTCACAGGGAAAAGTGGAGTTGATCTTGGTAGAGCATGATGGAGTGATCGAAAATGCGAAGTAGGTGAAAGTGGAAGATTGAAAATTGACTAGTTATTGGACATTGAACACTTTAAGTCCAATACTACAAGCAAATTTTTCATTTTCATATTTCATTCAGTTTGAGTCCAAGCGTTCTCCTTTCCTATTTATCCAAGCACATTATCCATACATTTTCATTTTCACTTTTGTTCAAAGCCACTGGGGATATAATCAATAGTAAGTTGGTAAAAAAAATTCATTTACCGAGACCAAGATTTTTACCATATCACTTTTCATAAATGGCTGTTGTTGCTGGTTTAGAAGTCACTTTCAAAGTAATTGGAGTTGACAAAAGGGGTGAATAATTCAGATTTAAATATTAATTTATTCTTCAAATCTGGTTTGATAACCAGCCTTTATTACGGAAACATTTTGCTCTTAAGAAATTAATTGAGTAGCTACCCTACGATTGAATACATTTAGAATGTCATGTGTCTCCTCATTCTAACAATTAAATATAAATGTGTTTGACAGAATTGTTCAGTCTCATTGCATGTCATAACAGAAGAGCAACAATCCATGAGACATCCAAGAATTAAACCTGTTTGGTAGCATCATCAATCTCTTCAACCCATATACTCTAGACTCTTCTAATTTTTGTCACTATTGAAGTGCAAACGAAGGAAACAACAAACACAGATCACCACAGGAAGCTGAAATTTTTAGATTTTCTCTCGTCTGTTGATAAGGATTTCCTCTGACACAGTGCTCAGAACATTTTTTGGACGAAAATTTGACAACGTTAATCAAAAGGACAAAAAATCCTCCAAATTTTGTTCCTACGATTTTCATCATAACATTTAAGATCAGATCATAATCAAGGTTCCTGGTTTATGTGTCCTATGTTGCCACATTGCCCATTGGAAAACCATAAACAGCAACCGTGGATTATGCTAAAGGTTACAAATCTTTCTCTGAACTATCTTTCGTGTTGTCAAACAATGAGTCCACGCGTTTCTTCTGAAACCACGCCATTATGGAATGTGATGTTTTGGTAGTCAATGTCAGTGATGAAGCATTGTGGTACTGGGTGTCACTATCTGAAATTAAAGGTCCCTGATATCCTTAATTGTCTTGCTTTTTGAAATGCATGTCACGAGAACATTCTGTGTGCTACATCATTTTGCTGTGGCACAATTTATCGGGATTTAACCAAATGTGGTACACTCTGATGGCGAAAACTGTCCCATGCTTACACCTACCTAGTTCCCGTATAAACTCCTCCTTCTACCAGAATGAATACGACAGGACTTGACAGTCGTTTTGAAAATGATTGCCCTGGAAATGTTGTAATGGTGATGATGAAGACTAAAAGCTACTCCTTAGGACCTGATTTGGACTTTTGCCCCTCCCAAAGCTTCATTTTTTATCTCCTCATTCATCAAAAGAGAAATGGGTAAAACAAAAAAAATTCACTACTTTTCACAACTACTTCAAAATGGTTTTTTTAACAAAGTATTGAGAAAAAATTTCAAATAGTTTGCAGATTACATAAATGCATGCTGTAGGGTAGAATACACTGAAATGCTTGACTATATAGGCTACCATGTAAGATTATTTCATATTTTGTTGGTAGTTTATGAGACAAGACATGTGTCCCAATTATTGCAGATCCACAATCACCATTCATCAACCTTGAAAATGGTTGGCACTTAGTACACCAGATTTGTTGAATTAATTATTCCTGGGATTTTATCCACCATGTCTATGGAATAAGTTATATATGTTTGTTGGCAGTTTGTAGGAATATCTCAATTTCTAACCATACATCTCCATTCAATGGAAACAAAATAAATGTCCAAGGAAAAAGAAATTAATTTTGGTTTTCTTTAATTTCTTCAGTTTTTATTTTCGATATTAGTCTCATGAATTAAAAAAAAAATGCAATTTTATTCCAATTCTCAAATTTGCATATATTTTTTTTAACTATTGAGACCTAAACCTAAAATCTTCATTTAAGGTATAATCAAGAATTAGTTTAATTAATTAAAATGTAAAAATATAATAAATAAATGTTACAAAATTGAGAATTGGAAAAACTTATGAGTTTTGTAAAATATGTAAATTAAAAGGGACAACAAAAAACATAAATAATTAATATAGGTACAAAGTACTAGAATAACATAAAGCATAAATCATATTGGTATTGTCTGCGATAAAGACACCCTTAACATATCTAACTACATAATTATGTCCCTGTTAAACTCTAACTATATCACCATCAATATGAACCTATTAACTATGGAAAAAAATGAAGTTTTTTGAGAAATCCTCTATGAAAAAAACTCTATATTTAGTTAAAAAAGAAAAAAACTCTCAATCATTTTTTTTATCCAAACATATTTTGGAGTTCGGTTTTAGAAGGAGGGGAGGGTATTTTTTCATTCTAACAAATATTTTTTATTTTAATATTTTTAAAACAAAAGAAATAAAATCATATATATAGCGACACGAACTTAATTAAAATGATAATATTCTTTTTAGAATATTATTAATTCTCTGGCAAATACACAATCCACGTGAATTTGTTAGAATTAAAGATTTAGATGGCGACAAATAATGAAAAAAATTTCATAATACTAATTTTTATATATTAATTACTATTGATAAGTGACAAAATAGAAGATTTAAGGAGTAATCTAGGTTAATCGTTAGTATTAAGAGTCACGCTAGACTTTAATTATTGTTTTCAGATATTCATATTTTTCTGTTAAATTCTTAAAGTGGAGATTTTTTTAAGAATACACTTTTGATCAAAAAAAAAACTCAAATGCAATTCAATTTAATCACAAACAATCCAATTATTTTTAAATTAAAATAACATTGAAAATATTATTATTAAAATTAAATAATAATATTATATTTATAAAAGTAAAATATAGTTATTTAAAAAGTTAAATAATATTAATTTTTTTATTATCATTATCAAATTAATTATGTAAAAAATTAAATATCATTAAAAATATTATTATTAATATTAATTAATCATACTATTTTAATAAATTTAAAATCTAGTTATTTAAAAATGTATACAATATTAAAATATTATTATTAGCATTAAGTAATTATATTATATTAATAAATTTAAAATATGATTATTTAAAAACTAATTAATATTAAAAATATTATTATTCATATTAATTAATTATTTGTATTAATATTAGAAAGTTTGTCTAGATAGGATTTAACTCCATCCAGCTTGGTCCACCTCTAACCAGTTTGAGAAGAGTCAAATAATAAGAATTAGGACTTGTTTCTGGTGAAAATTTGATCGATTTCGGTTCCTAAGAGATTTTGGTTCTAACCAAATTTCAACCACGTAGATTCTTTTACTTAGGCTAGCAAATAGTTTTCAATCGAAAATATGTATGAGAATCGAAAATGCCATAATATCGAGAAATGTTAACAACGCAACCTATCATACAGATCGACAATCGAAAGTATTATTTTTAATATTTTTTATTAAGAAACGCAAAGTAAAGAAAGTAGTAAAAATATCGAATCGAAAAACAGTGCAGAATATTAAATTGCAGAGAAATGTAAAATGCGGAAACCTCGAAATTGCAGAAACGGTAAATGACAAGAAATTAAAACTGCATGAAAATTAATAGCCGGAAATAGAAATTGCAGAAATGTAAATGGCGAAGATCTTAAACGCATAACCTTAACTTGCATTAAAAGTAAAATAACAAGGAATTGAAAGTGCGGAAACGTAGAGTTACTAAACGTAAAATGCATCAAAGTAAATTGCATGAACATAAATTACCAGGGATAATAAAGAAAGCGATACAAACAATCAATGAAAATGGAAACCCAGATCGCCAGAAACTTCATGATTCGTCGTTCTCCGGTAGACTTTTCACTTATGCTTCTGTTGTCTCTGCCAATTTCCCTTTTCCCTTCATCTTTCGCTCTATTTATAGAACATCCTTCAAGTAATCTCTTAGGAGTAGTTAACGAAAATTGTTACCACGTCCTGCGTGCACGTCCTTTGCAGTTTTACTTCTAGCTCTACGGTTTAAACAATTGCATTCACGTTCCCATGCATGAGATAATTGTTCCCTTGATCTTCGACCTCTGCCACGGTTTAGAAACCGCTTACCATGTTCTATGTGCACGTCAACTGTTTCTCTCTTTATAACTTAGCCAGAATTTCGATAGTCATGTAGGTTAGCCTTTCCCTCGATCTCGATGCCAAATCTCGAGAACTTTGACCTTAGCCAAAATTTCGATAGTCATGTAGGTTAGTCTTTCCCTCGATCTCGATTCCAAATCTCGATTCATGTGTCCATACTTACATGGTCATCAAATATTTTCCAACTATCTTTTCAATTTATCAGTTTTTTAACCAATCATATGATCCTCGATTTTTTCTTTCCTTCATTTTTCGATCCCTTTATCGATTTCCCACTAACAAAATGCCCCCTTGGAAGAATATAAATATTAATTTTTATTTTATATTCTTTCAAAATGATTCCCGCCTTCAAATGTTTTGGAGGCCCAAAATAACTTTTAGGGTTTAGGGTTTCTGGGGTTTTTCTAGGGTTTCTTTGCTTTAAGTCACATATCAAATCACTCTGTTGTCACACTGCACATGCCACATTAATTACCTTTCGCCTCCGTCGCTTCTAATACCCTAGTTGGTTTCTTTTAAACGTTTGTTAGCCTTTTTACCCTTGTTTTTTATCACGAACTTAACTCACTTCTCCTTTGCACCTTCGTCTTCTAGCTTTTGTCTTCATCTGCTCTACCGACTGTAATGGTGACCTCATCCAAATCCTCTGATTTCTCCGCCCCACCACTTCCCTCGGTGACCTCTAACCTACTAGAGATTAATGGACAAAAATTTGCTCCAGTTCCTCTGATGGAAGAAGCTTCTCAAAAGATTGTTGAGACACAGGTACTCATTCCTTACATTGTTGATAATGTAAATTACGCTTTTGGAGGTCCTATCCGCTATTGTGACGGATCATTTTCTTCTTCCCTCAACCTCTCAGAGAGTAAAGCTCTTATTCACAAGCCTGAGGTGCGAATTGATTTTCTGAACATTGTCCCCAAAGTGTATCGAACAGGTCCTCCCCACAAAAAACCCTTGTACATTAGGTGGTTTGACCGGGTTAAAACTAAGTTTGGGAACCATTGGAGAGATGTAGGGATCTTCGATTTCCTACATTTGTCTCGATGTGATTTATCATTTTTAGATATGGCTATGTTTTTGTCTGCCGTCCATTTGTGGAATAAGGATTTGCATGCTTTGGAACTACCTTGTGGTCCCCTTTCACCCACCCTCTTTGAAATTGTTGCAATTACTGGATTAAAGCCTACAGGGGAGAAATACTATGAGGGGGCTTTCCCTTCGGATAACTCTTTAAGGTCGAAAATCGATTGGGAATCGAAGACCTATGGACATTTTCTCGAAAAGCACTTCGTCGATGATCAATCAGTAGCTGTGACTGATGAGGAGCATATAGCCTTTCTGGTGTATTGGTTATGTACCCATGTCTTTTTCCCCCGATCCATCCAAATTTCATCCCACTTCTATAACCTTGCCTATCTCCTTCACACTGGCCAACCTAGGATTTGTTTGGCAAAACTTTTATTAGCCCATGTCTATACTACTTTTGATGAGGCCGTCGATATTTTGAATACCCCAAGAGCCTCAGGGAATTTTTCAGGTCCTATTTGGTTTATTCAATTATGGCTTACCTCGATTTTTGAGAGTATCCTCCCCCCAACCTCCAAAATCCCCCCAAGTTTGAATTTAGAGGGTGCTCGATTATCTTCTCAACATCCCCACTACAAATCCGACGAGGCTGGTTACCGAAATTACCTACAATTTTTGTTGACCTAATTTCATTTTGATTCGAATTTGACCCATTTTACTGTGTATCTTTGAAAAATAAGTGACAAACTTCGAGGGCCAACATGATTTAGATCAAAATTTCCTGCTCTTACTCCGGGACTGCAATCAGAATTGGTTGAAGTATGGAATAATTACCTAACCCAAGATGTTTTGGTATCGGGTTTCCAATCGAAGGATCTTCGACGTGTCATTTATTATCCCCAACTTTTCTCGCGACAGTTTGGTTTGAGTCAAGCTTTACCCTTTTTTCCCCTCGAAAGCTCCTCAAGGTCCAAATTAAGTGAATCGACTATTGGACGGGAGCTTGCCAAACGGTTGCCAAAAAACCCGATGCACTTTTACCCTTATATTTTTGAATCGAATTATTTATCTACTCTTGGTTTCTCTCAGTGGTGGACCGATTGATTTTCAAATGTTCATTCTGATTTTGACATAGTCCAATCAAAATTGACTGGTCATCCTTCTCTCGTGTTGCAGGACAAATCGAAGGCGAAGAAATGTACATACTCTCACTATCTCCAAATATCTCGATTCGAA